CTAGTCTAATACTTAGTTGTTTCCTCCTCTTCCTTTCTTGATTAATCGATAAAACGGTAAGGTCATGGAAAATTTTGTGAAGTTGAATTGTTGCAATATTTTAATTTTCCCCACCCACCCTCCTCTTGTTTTAGAACAAATACTGCTGTTCCTGTTATGTCATTGTAGCTGAAGACTTCCTGCTTGGCCTGTGTCCACAACATCCCATGTCGCAGTGATAATCGTGTGCTCCAATATTCCTCAATGGTGCCCTGTTTGGTCCAGCGTCTTCATCAACTTGTGTTGCATGAATTCTGTATGATTGCGTATTCTTCAAAGACTGCCTGTTGGGTACAGCGTTCGCATCAACCAATGTCGCGGTGATGAGGTCTCTATTCTACCTATACCGTGATGACTACCTGTTTTGGATTCCGCATCAACCAATGTCGCGGTGATGAAGTCTCTGTTTTACCTATACCGTGATGACTGGCTGTTTGGGATACCGTCCACTTCAGCCTTGTCGTGGTTGGAATTCCTAGTGTTTGCGTATTCCGTCACACCTCAACGCAATTGGACGAGTGCAACACATATTCTTACGCTCATTCCATTGTTTATTGACTTGATTTATAGTTGAATTGATTGATTGATTAATAATGGATTGATTGACAAGTAATTGACTTGATTGATATTTGAATTGATTGATTGACTGATTGATTAATAATTGATTGATTGAATTTGATTGATTATTGCATTGGTGACGTTCATGCACTTGTGATCTACCCAGTGCATGATCCGCCCGATTTGGGTCGTCACATTTGTTGTATTGATTGTTGATTGTGGGGCAGCCCTGTGGTAGCCCCAGCAAATTGATCACCGCGGCCAGAAGCGCCATATTAAACAAGCAAAATAACATCCATATTGTTTGTTTGATTTATAGGGAATCTGAAATAATCAAGGTATGGCCAAATGCCTAAGTTAAAAAGTGCGGAAATTCCCGGAAAAAATAACGGAATCGGAATTTCCTGGTAATATGCACATCTACACATTGTGCCCTAAATACCTGCAAAGTTTGACGAAACTCTGTGCAGCGGTTTATGAGGAGTTGCGCTGACAAACTGTTCACCTCTATATTCAAGGTATGGACAAATGCCTAAGTTAAAAAGTGCGGAAATTCCCGGGAAAAATAATGGAATCGGAATTTCATGGTAATATGCACATCTACACATTGTGTCCTAAATACCTGCAAAGTTTGACGAAATTCTGTGCAGCGGTTTATGAGGAGTTGCGCTGACAAAACAAGAGGCCCAAGGGCCCTATAGGTCACCTGAGTATCATGTAACAACTTTCCAGCAATTGTATTTGGTTCGTGTTTTAATCCAAAAGCCATGAAATTTACAAATTTTGAAAGAGGCACCATTGCTTATCAAAGGGCAGATTTCAAAGCATTAATCTATTTTTAGTCAAAGTACCCCTCTGGTACCCCTGACCAAGAAGCCCTGAAATTATCTATTTTGAAAGAGGCCCCTTTCTTCATTAGAAGGCCAGCATTTTTTTATGTTTAGGTTTAGTTATGAACATGAGAATAAAAAAGTCCCGAAGGAGAAGGAAATAAAAAAAATTTTTGTTGATAAATCAATTATTAACATTTGTAAATTCTTTTTTTATGCTATCCTAATAGGCTCCTTACCACTGGACACATAATGCTTACAAATAGGAAAGTAGAACATTTAATTGCTTATTTCATCATCTGCCAGTTTGGGCCAGTTATATAAATTTTGTGATGTTGAACAAAATATATTTTTAATAAAGTGCCACGCCACAGCATGATACGCCCGTCAAAAAATTACAATTACAATGTATCTTAAACAGTTAAAAGTGCAGGAAAATCATGTCAACCTTGATTTTAAGATTTCAATGATTTTTACACTCCTTAAAAAATTTGTTTATCCATCTCCTGTGGTGTAGGCATTAATTATAACAAATATTGCATCATTCATAAATTTCTATACCTTGCCAAATGCCTATCATATCAAACACTATCAAATTAGTCTTCACAACTTAATTTATACCTAATTAATTTTGAAAATGAAAGACTGGTTATCAAGTATAAACTGACCAACAGTTCTTCTGCCTAACTCCCAAAGGATACAGATAAGACCATTCTATGAAGAAATGAAAGAGCCATGCAGCTAGCCTTCCTACATTGAACACATTAATTAATCTTTTACTGGATGCTTTTCTACTCATTACTCCCAAAAGATTGTTGGATCTCCACTATCTACCATAAAACATTTTTAAAACATATAAAACATCAATGATTTTTTTTTTAGATTTAATGTCAGACAGTTAATTGTTAATATGCTATTCATATGGACATGCAGATTCCACCCCTACCCCCATAAAATTAATTTTTAAGTTCATAATATTATGTAATATCAAAATAGTTTAATATGCAATATCAAATTTGTTTTAATTACTTCTCATCAAATTTATTTTAAAACTTCCGAATTGCTTAGCCAACAAGAGCTATTTTTAATCCAACAGGCTTACCCATTTGGCCCAATACTCAAGGGATATAGATAGCACCGATGCTCTTACAGCTACTCCTCACACTAAACTCATTAATTTCTCTCTATAATTTGACATGCAATTTTTCTGTTATCAAAATTCTTCTTGAACAGTGCTTGATAATTAGACTCATGGGAGTGGTGAAATTTCTCTAACATACATTATATTTGTTATAGATTGCTGTCAAGTATATGCTAAAAAATAAGTATTTTCTTGATTTAACATTTTTCTAATAAGGTTAGTGCAATAGTTTTACATTTTTTTGAATGTGTAAATGAATAGAAAAAAAACAATTTTTGTTTAAAATTCCACTTACATTAAAGGTCACAGTGACCTTGAAATAGGTCGCGACACACCTTCTACCTAAGATGCATAAACTGGCCAAGTTTGATGATTCTAAGTCTAATAGTTTTCTAGTTATGGACCGGACAGAATTTTTCCATATTTGGCTATAACTTTTTAATTATAGGTCAGAGCGACCTACTTTTTGTGCGCGACACACCTTCTACCCAAGATGTATCAGCTGACAAAGTTTGATAACTCTAGGCCTTATAGTATTAAAGTTATGAGCCGGACACGAGAAAAGCTAACAGACGGACGGACACGAAGCCTATAACATAATACGTCCCGTCTTAAGACGGGCGTATAAAAATCAATTCTTTAAAAGTCTTTCAATATATCTTCATTTTTTTAATATGTGTTAGGTGAATGTGTAGACAATGTTCTAAAATTTACTTGATGTCTAAAATTATAATTCCTATCATAAAACAGACAGGGAGTATTGGGGAGTAGGGTCAACATTTTTTCAATTAAGTGTAAAATAATTTTTCTGGCTGATACAAATGATACTACATGCCTGTATATAGTTGTACATTCTTGCCTTTTAATAGTTGAATTTTTTGTTTATTTCTTCAGGTTATTGTTTATTTCTTCCTCAAATGGACTTCACTTCTCCAATAGTTTTATTCATTACATCTGATGCATAAGCAACCCTTTTCTGAAGAATGATGCTTAGACTGTGAGCTATAACAGAGACCTAGACAATGTCCCTGGCAATATGCAATAGCTACCACGGGCAGTTTAAAACATCAGGGAGGAAAATAATTTACAGTTACTTTTGAAACGAATACATAATTATCTCACCAGCATTTCATTGTGCAACAAAGTCGTCAGCATTTTATTTGTCCTTTGAACGGGTGAAACGTTTTGAATGGCACTCTTATCAATGAATTTTACACTAAACCAAGCTATCTTCTCAGATTTAGCTTTATTTACCCGCCGTTTCATCGTAAAACCGGAAGTGCGAGTTCGTAAATTTGAAATGTCGATCCCGACTCAAATTTGACATCGGAAATAAAAAATTGTTTTATTTTTTTCTGAAAATTCAAAACCTTGAGCGGAGGGTTTGTAAAACTGAAAATAAAATATATCCTGGCCTTAAATATGTACTAAGATCATTAGCATATTAACCAGGAGCAAAGGATAAGATGTTCAAAGAATTCATGCATTTCACTATATAATCATTAGAGCCCCACCCTAAAACAAGAACCCCTGACTCTGGGGCCATAAAATTCACAATTTTGGTAGAGGCACTATTGCATATCATAACTAGGTATTTAGCTAGTTTATTTAATACCCAGGAGCAGAGAAGAAGATTTTCAAAGAATTCATGTATTTTCACTATATAATCAATAGAGCCCCGCCCTAACACCAGAACCCCTGACCCTGGGGCCATAAAATTCACAATTTTGGTAGAGGCACTCTTGCTCATCATAACTATGTATTTAGTTGGTTTATTTAATACCCAGGAGCAGAGAAGAAGATTTTCAAAGAAATAATGCATTTTCACTACCTACTTATTTAGCCCCGCCCTAGCACTAGAACCCCTGACCCCAGGGCCATGTATTTCACAATTTTAATAGAGGACTCATTTCTGATTACAATCATGCAAACAGTTTGACTGCTTGATGTCCAGGAGTAAAGAAGAAGATTTTTAAAGATTGCATTAATTTTAGTGGTTTTGGCCCCACCCCTCAGGCCCCAGGGGGGCAGGGATCATGAAATTCATAATTTTCGTTCCCCTTCACCCTTAGATGCTTTGTGCCAAATTTGGTTGAAATTGGTTCAGTGGTTGCTGAGAAGAAGCTGAAAATGTTCAAATGTTAATGCACGACGAACGACGACGGACGAAAACAGATAGCAATAGGTCACCTGAGTTTACTCAGGTGACCTAAAAAAGGACTGACTGACACTCTGACTCTCTGACGGACGGGTCAAAAACATTATACCTTATGCAACTAGTTACGTCACCGTGGGTATAATAAAAGTTAGAAAACTATAAAAATATATGCGCTGTAGTACACCAAATAAAATTGTTAAAATCTCCAATTGATTGTCTAAAATCGACAGTCTTTCCAATCGATTATAAATCAGTTAGTGTACAGAGTTCTTACTATTTGACGCCCAGTCTGGTTTGACACAGATCTCCCCCGGCTCGTTGTACTGGTTAGGAATGCAGTGATAAAACTCTGGATCTGGACAATTGTGCTGATTCTTCATTGTCTCCCAGCCATTGCTATTGAAGGGACACAACTCCCCAGGTTGTAATTTTTTAAAATGGTTTTCAGTCATTTTTAGGGGAATATCCTTAGAAAGCAGAAGAACAGTAAAATTATATAACCATGTTTTGCATATATGTGTTTTCTTATATGTACATCATCATGCAAGTACTTTCTGCGCATGTGCAGTCATGAAAGGTTGATTTACACAGTAACAAGTAAAAAAAAAAAAAGAATTAAAATCAACTC